GCACATGAAAAGCTGCTCGACGTCACTAATCATTGGGGAAATGCAAATCAAAACCACAATGAGACATCACCTCACACCTGTCAGAATGGCTATCAACAAAAAGACCACAAATAACAAATGTTGGCAAGGATGTGGAGAAAAGGGAACCCTGGTACACTGTTGGTGGAAATGTAAACTGGTGCAGCCACTATGGAAACCAGTATGGCGGTTCCTTAAAAAATTGGAAATAGAACTACTATATGATCCAGCAATTCCATTCATGGGTATTTCTCCGAAGAAAATGAAAACACTAACTTGAAAAGATATGTGCACCCAATGTTCACAGCAACGTTATTTACATACAAGAGCCATGATATGGAAGCAACCTAAGTGTCCATCAACAGATGAATGGATAAAGGAGAAGTACTGTGGCACAAGGGAATATTACTCAGCCTTAAAAAGGAATGAAATGCTGCCATGTGCAACAACATGGATGAATCTGGAGGGTATTATGCTATGTGACATAAGTCATAGAGACACAATACTGTATGTTTTTACTTATATGTGGAATCTAAAAAATAAAACAAATAAATATAACAAAACAGAAAGAGACTCACAGAATTAGAGAACAAACTAGTGGTTACCAGAAGGGACAGGGTTGGGGAGAAGGGTAAGAGATGAAGGGGATGAAAAGGTACAAACCACTAGGTATAAAATAAATAAGTTATAAGGGTATAATATACAGCACAGGGAATATAATCAATATTTTATAATAACTTTGTATGGAGTATCATCTATAAAAATATCAAATTACTATGTTGTACACCTGGAACTACTATACTGTAAGTCAACTATAATTCAATTTAATAAACACCAGCTAAAATAACATCATGATAACATAAAAAAGTCTCTTCATGTATTTTGTCCATTTACATATTGGAATCTAAATGTGTCTCTTATTTGTTTATGTGGTGTTTAAATAAATTTTTTTTTTTTTTTTTTGCGGTACGCGGGCCTCTCACTGTTGTGGCCTCTCCCGTTGTGGGATGCGCAGGCTCAGCGGCCATGGCTCACGGGCCCAGCCGCTCCGCGGCATGTGGGATCTTCCCGGACCGGGGCACGAACCCGTGTTCCCTGCATCGGCAGGCGGACTCTCAACCACTGCGCCACCAGGGAAGCCCTAAATAAATATTAACTCTGATATTTAATGCAAATACTTTCTCAATCCAGTATTTTGCTTTCACTTTTAAGTTTCTAATTTCATGCAATATAATACGCTACGCTTTTCTTCTGTGATTTATCCTTAGCTTGAATATTTGATAAATTCTCAGTTATTTTAAATTTTCTAAAATAAAATTCTATTTTATTCTAAATTTTAAAATAGTTTAAAAACATCAAGCCATCAGATATATGTTCACGTATTTTGAGAACTGTGGGTCTACTTTTATTTTTCTAGGGTGATAGCCAGTTACTCAACTTCAATTATTGGTTAAAATTTTCCTGCCCCAAACTATATGCTCATATATACTAGGTTCTATCTCTGGTCTATCTACTTTTTTATACAAGTATCTAATTTTTTATTATTGTGGTAAAATACATAATGCAAAATTTATCATTTTAACAATTTTTAAGTATACAATTTAGTGGCATATAGATCCTCATTGTTTGGCAGCCATCACCACCACTTATCTGCAGAACTTTTTTGTCATCCCAAACTGAAACTTTCTGCCCATCAGCCCTCCTTCTCCCCACCCTCCTGCCTCCTGTTTCCTTATAGCAGACTTCCTATCTGCTGAGGCTACTCCCTCTTCATTGCTTTTCTCTGTAGATCATTTTATATTCTTGCTAATTTAACCCACCAAATTAACTTTAGCCTTATTTTGGAAAGTTATGAGAAAAATTTGGTTGGGCTAGTGTTTGAGGACTTTCCCACCCAATGACACAGTGTGTCTCACATTCAGGTTTTCTTTTACCTCTGAGCAAAGCTTTGTGCCTTTTTCATGTACATCATTCACTTTACTAGGGTTTTCAAATGTCTTTTTGGCATGTATTTCAACAGATGACCGTACGTTGTTTTCTAATGGATCGCTGAGCCGTGTGTTATTGAAGACGTCTGTAAACACCCATTTGTTGAGCCCTGTGAGGGGCCAGCCCTGCACAGGCACCAGCCCTGCCCTGTTCGGAGCCTGCATTCTGATAATCCAGATCAATGTGGTCCTGCTGAAATGTTCTTTCATGATATTGTTGATGTCATTTACTAGCATCTTAAAGTTTTAAAATCAACATTCATATGTAAACACAGCTTTCATTGTTTATGATGTTTTTAATCAGGTTTCGGTATTAGGGTTATTCAGTATATGTTTTATAGACCAAACTGGAGAGTTTCCTGTTTTATTTTGTTTTTTTCTCCTACATTATGGAAAGTTCATATAATGTGAGAATTATCTATTCTTTTAAGATGGAAAAGATTAGCCAGTGAATCCATCTACAACTGGAGTCAGCAGTGGCCTCCTCCTTTTTGCCTTTTCAGGTGAGAAGAATTGTTTTTGGAGAACTTCCTTAATTTCTTCCTATTGCTCTGGTCGGGGTTTCCACTTTTTTTCTACTTTTTGTGTCACATTTATTTGTCATGTATATTTTTGCAAAAAATAATTCATTTTACAGAGGTTTTCAAATCCTTAGCATACAGCTATATGGTTTTATATTTTAAAATTCTCTCCCAAATCTGTTATGATGACTTTCTTCTTTCTAACTTAATTCCCCTCCCTTCCTTTTCTAAGAATTTGATGTTATTTTGTTAGTAAACACTTTCCTCTCCCCTTCTCCTTCACTAGTTTTGTTTTAAAATTTATTTTGCTTTTATATCCTTCTTGCTGTTTCCTGAGAATTTTTATTGTTCTGAACTTTTTATAAAATACTAATCTGAATGCTTGGTTCTTTTATTTTCCCTTTGCTCAATTAAAGCATGTAAATATATGAATTTTTATCTGAGCATAAGTTTGTTATGTATACACACATGGACACACAATTTGTTTTTTTCTATTTTCCAAGAAATCTATGATTATAATTTTTAAACTCCTTGATTCAACTGTTACTTAAAAAGAGCATTTTAAAATGTCCAAGGGGATACTTCCTTTTTTCAACATATATTTTTAGTTTAATTTATTTGGGATTAGAGATTGTGTAGAATATCTGTTCTTATTTTATAAATTTAGTTGTGATTTTTATCATGGTCTTCTGAATTTATGACTAATTTTTATAAATGTTTCATGATACTTGACAAGAAGGCATAAAAATTTGATATATATATTTATTAATTATACTGCTATAAATCAAATCCATTATATTCCTAAGTACTTCTGTCTTCTTCATTTGTCACAGACTTAGACACATTAATTTCTGAGTTCTAACAGCTTTTGCCTTATGTTTTTAGTTGTTATGTTATTTGGATCACAAGGGGCCCAGAGTCCCATGTCTTCACTACTGATGAGGTCTTTTGTTGATATAAGGTGGTATTCTTTGCTGCGTTCCGACTTGCCTCTTAATAAGTTGAGTGTGCTTCCAGATTAAGTCCATCACCAGGCACTAACAGCAACAGAATTACTGAGAAGTAGGGGAACCAGACAGCATCGATATTACGAGTCATCTAAGGTAGCCCTTTCATCTTCCAGATTAGAAACTGAAACCTAGAGGCTAGTGGTCCTATTTGTACTTATTTTTTAAATTGAAGTATAATTGATTTACAATGTTGTATTAGTTTCGGGTGTACAGTAAAATTATTCAGCCATGTATATATTTTTTCAGATTCTTTTCCATTATAGGTTATTACAAGATGTCGAGTATAGTTCCCTGTGCTATACAGTAAGTCCTCGTTGTTTATCTATTTTACATATAGCAGTGTGTATCTGTTAATCCCATACCCCTAATTTATCCCTCTTCCTCCGTTACCCCTTTGGTAACCATAAGTTTGTTTTTCATGTCTGTGAGTCTGTTCCTGATTTGTAAATGAGATCATTTGTATCATTTGTTAGATTCCACATGTAAGTGATATCATACGGCATTTGTCTTTCTCTGTCTGACTTACTTCACTGAGTATGATCATTTCTAGGTCCATCCATGTTGCTGCAAATGGCATGATTTCATTCTTTTTTTATAAGCCTTTCACATTTAGCGGTGCTTGTTTACAGACACACTGGTTGGAGTTTTCAGGCTGTGTGTAAATGGAGAGCCCATCACTGTCTTGGTCACTGCGGTACCCTTGGTGCCCAGAGTGGTAATAAACAAGCTTTTCAGGAATGACAGGAATCTATGAACCTAGGAAAATCTGCAAGCTGCTTTTGCTTTGTTGAAGTTGTTGGTGGGTATATTTGTATACAGGGGGCCCATTGGAGATATTTTAGAATTCCTCCAGGTACTGGGCAGCCCTGGGTTACAAGGCCTGGGTTCCAGCCCCGGCCCACCCCAGGGGTCCTTGGGTAACTCCCTGAAACTCGCTGGGCCTGTTTCCTCTTCCTTCATCTTTAAGGTTCCTTGTGGCTCCAACAGTCCAGGTACTAGACAAGGAATTCCCTCTCCCACTGAGTTCTAGAGCACATGACAGTGGTTAATATCATCCGGAATTCACTCGAAGGCAATTGAGTCACTTCGACCACCTTATATTAGAAAAAAGAACTGAAACAACCGTGTCTTACGATTCCATGGAAACGATTTCTGCCTACTTCTGTCCCCCTGTCAACTCCTGGGCCCCTGGGCCTACAAACACGGTTCGTGGACGCACAACCTCAATGCAAAACCCACTGTGGAAACAACGAGAGAACCAGGACATGTGGAAGGAGGGCGAGCTCCCACCGGGAACGCGTGGAGCGGCCAGGTCTGCGGGACGGGAGGCTACCCGAACCGCTGCCGGCGGGAAGGGCCGGGAGGGGCCGTCTGAGGAGGCAAACGCCCCCGGGAGACCCCGCCGTGACCCGAGCTCCCCTCGGCCCCGGGTGACCGGGCAGGACGCGCAGGCGCCGGCCTACCTTGCAGTGCGTGGTGCTGACGGGCAGCCCGACGTTGGAGGCGGTGACCACGGTGAACGCTGAGGCCAGCTCGATGGTGAAGCCGCTGCGGAGGAGACAGGGGACACGTCACAGGCGCCGCCGGTGGCTCGCCGACCCTGGGTGCCCAGGCCTCACCAGGACGCTTCTTGGGTGGACTGCGTCCCACGGAATCAGCAGAACCAGGGACTGCGGCATGGCGGCCACATGGCACCAACGCTTGGCATGAGGCTGCTTGCAGCCCTAAGGAGCCTCGTTTTCCCGGTATGTTTTCAAAAACCACACCCTGTAGGAGCTGGGTCAGAAATTCCTGCTGAGCCGAAGGTGGTGAATTGTCATGTCTAAAGTGGCGCAGGGAAAACTATGCTCTCATTTTTAAAACGTGTACGTATCATAAAGGAGTGAAGTTTTTCTCAGATCACTAATTTTTCTTCAAATCAATCTTATAAGAGAATCATTCATTAAAATGACTTTCAAGGTGGAAAAGATCTCTTACAATAGGTAGTTTCAAGTTTTAGCTGTATTTGGAAAGTTCTCCTGTGAATTTGTTATTTAACCAACAGTGGTCCCCAACCTTTTTGGCACCAGGGTCCGGTTTGGTGGAAGACAATTTTTCCAGAGGGGGATGGTTCAGGCGGTAATGCGAGCGAGGCGGGTACGGTTCAGGCGGTAATGCGAGCCAGGGGGAGCCATGGGGAGCGGCAGGTGAAGCTTCACTGGCTGGCTCGCCCTCGCCTGCCACTCACCTCTTGCTGTGTGGCCTGGTCCCTAACAGGCCACGTACCGCTGTCGGTCCGCGGACCAGGGGTTGGGAACCCCTGCTCTAGAGGATACACACTAGAAGGACCATAGGAAACCACGTGGGAGTCTCCAAACCCCACCCCGGGGCATGGGCACCCTTCCTGCCGGCTTAGCCCAGGAAGCAAAGGAAGGATGTGGAGTAAACCTTGAAGGGCAGCAGGGGACAGCTGCCTGCAGCCAGCAGGTGGAGCTGGTGAGCAGAGGATTTTCGGGAAAGGCAGGCCCAAGAGCCCTTCTCTCCCTCCCCACCTGCTCTCTGGACCTCAGGCGGGGTAAGGGCAGTGGGAGTGTGGGAGGGGAACGGGGTGCGGGTGTGGCTGCAGGTGGATTCGCTTTTTCTCTTCCCTTCTCCCTCCATTCCCATCCCTCCCACTCCCACCCTCACCTTGTGCCACCGCTGAGCAGTGCATGAGGGTGACGGGTGAGGATGGCACACGGGGACCCCACTGCAGACCCGGCTGTGCAGAGAGCCGCGCTGGGACGTCCAGACACAACCACTCCGCGCCGCCCCAGCGGCTTACCTGGACGGCGTGATGGGGGTGAGGTCCTTCCCCATGGTCTGGATCACTCTTCTCCCCCAAACCCAGAGGCCTGTACAAATTCCAACCCCTCCGTAAAACAGCAGCCAGACGGGAGTCACTGCTTCTTGTAGGACCGCACCTTGTTCATAAATCAGCCACAGAGCTACCAGGGGACCAATGGCATTACTGGGAGGAAAAAAGAGGTTAATTGTACAAACATCGTACATGCATACAGATGACGCTGTACATGACGTGCAGGGACTTCTCTTCTTGAGAACAGCCCATCTGTCGCATTTGGGGCTTGCCTATGTAATCTACAGGTGATAAAAATGATTTAGTAACTTGCTTGGTTGTGGTTTAGAAAAACAGGAAGTTTACCGTCTTGACTATTTTTAAGTGTACAGTTCAGGAGTGTGAAGGATATTCACACTGTTGTGACACAGGCCTCCAGAACTTTTCGTCGTGGAAATCCGAAACTCTGCACCCATTAAATAAGAATTCCCTTTGCCCCTGCCCCACCCCCGCTAACGACCGTTTAACTTCATCTCTGAGTTGGAGTAGCTCTGCGAGGTTTCTTCTTAAGTGCAAGTGGATGGTGTTTGTCTTTTTGTGGCTAGTTTATTTCACTTAGCATAATGCCTTCAAGATTCATCCATGTTGTAGCATGTAACAGAATTTCTGTCCCTTTTTTTTTTTTTTTTTTTTTTTTTCGGTACGCAGGCCTCTCACTGTTGTGGCCTCTCCCGTCCGGACGCGCAGGCTCAGCGGCCATGGCTCACGGGCCCAGCCGCTCCGCGGCATGTGGTATCTTCCCGGACCGGGGCACGAACCCGCGTCCCCTGCATCGGCAGGCGGACTCTCAACCACTGCGCCACCAGGGAAGCCCCTCCGTCCTTTTTAAGGTGGAATATTCCACTGTGTGTGTGTGTGTGTGTGTGTGTATACATACGCACACACACACCATATATTGTTTAGCCATTCATCCGTTGATGGACACTGGGGTTGCCTCCACGTCTTGGCTATTGTGAATAGTGCTGCTGTGAACACGGGTGTGAAAATGTCTCTTGGAGACCCTGCTTTCCATTCTTTTGGGTATATGCCCAGTAGTGGGATTGCTGGGTCATATGGTAATTCTATTTTAAAATTTTTGAGGAATCTTCAGACTGTTTTCCACAGTGGTTACACCATTTTATATTCCCACCAACAGTGCACAAGAGTTCCAATTTCTCACATCCTTGCCAACACTTATTTTGTTTTTAGAGTCGCCATCTTAATGGTTGTGTGATTTGTTAATTTTTTTTTTTCTGGCTGTGTTGGGTCTTTGTTGCTGTGCACGGGCTTTCCCTAGTTGCGGTGAGTGGGGGCTACTCTTTGCTGCAGTGTGCGGGCTTCTCATTGCGGTGGCTTTCCTTGTTGCGGAGCATGGGGTCTAGGCGCATGGGCTTCAGTAGTTGCAGCACACAGGCTCAGTAGTTGCGGCACGCAGGCCCTAGAGCGCGCAGGCTTCAGTAGTTGTGGCATGTGGGCTCTAGGGCGCACAGGCTTCAGTAGTCGTGGCACGTAGGCTCAGTAGTTGTGGCTCACAGGCTCAGTAGTTGTGGTGCAAGGGCTTAGTTGCTCTGCGGCATGTGGGATCTTCCCGGACCAGGGATCGAACCCATGTCCCCTGCATTGGCAGGCAGATTCTTAACCACTGCACCACCAGGGAAGTCCCTAATTTTTTTTAAAGTACTGAAAAATCACAAGAAGTGGATACAAGTTCTTTTTTTTCTTCCTTTCTTTCTCTATTTCTTTCCATTTTCACTGCCAGCACAGCTACTAACATTAGCTACCAATTTGGGGCAGCTGTGCCAGCCTCCCCACTACGGGATCACAAACATTACTGCTAATCATTAGTTCTCAGGACCACCCGTTAAACTGGCTATTGTCACTCCCATTTTACTGATGAGAAAACTGATGCCAAAGTCATGTCCCTAGCAGGAAGCAGAACTGGGATGTGAGCTTAGGACTCACTCGGGTGCTTACCCCTCCCCCCAGACCCCCTATCATCACTCAGGCCCTTGGCAGGCATGCACTGACTTTTTCGGGGGGATGCCACAGCTTTTTTTCTTTTTTAAATTAAGACTTTATTTCTTTAGAGCAGTTGAAGATTCATAGCAAAACTGAGGGGAAGGTACAGAGGTTTCCCATATACCCTCTGGTCCACACATGCATAGCCTCCCCATCATCAACATCCCCACCAGAGTGGAACATTTGTTACAACCGATGAACCCATACTGACACATCAGAATCATCTGAAGCCCGTAGTTTACAGTAGCGTTCACTCTTGGTGTTGTACATTCTATGGGTTTAGACAAATGTATAATAAATGACATGTATCCATCATTAGGGTATCATACAGAGAATTTTCACTGCCCTAAAAATCCTCTGTGCTCTACCTATTCATCCCTCCTTCCCACCCCAACCCCTGATCTTCTGTCTCCATAGTTTTGCCTTTTCCAGAAAGTCATATAGTTGGAATCATACAGTATGCAGCTTTTCATATTGGCTTCTTCCATTCAGTAATATGCATTTAAGGTTCCTGCATGTAATTTCATGGCTTGATAACTCATTTCTTTTTAGTGCTGAAGAGCATTGTGTAAATGTACCAGTTTTTATCAATCCACCTATTGAAGGACATCTTGGTTGCTTCTATGTTTTGGCAATTCTGCGTAAAGCTGCTATAAACATCCATGGACAGGTTTTTGTGTGGATATAAGCTTATTAGGATAAATACCAAGGAGCACGACTACTGGATGGTACAATAAGCGTATGCTTAGTTTTGTAAGAAACTGTCCCACTGTCTTCCAAAGCAGCTGTACCATTTTGTATTCTCACCAGAAATGAATGAGAGTTCCTGTTGCTTCACATCCTTGCCAGCACTTGGTGTTGTCAGATCAGTTGACCGTCATATTTAAGTGGGTCTATTTCTGGGCTCTCTATTCTGTTTCATTGATTTATCTGTCTGTTCTTTCACCAATACCATACTGTCTTGTTACTGCAGCTTTACTAGCAAGCTTGAATTCGGGTAGTATCAGTCCTTCAAGTTTGTTCTTCAATTTTGCGTTGGCTATTCTGGGTTTTTTGCCTCTCCACATAAACTTTAGAATCAGTTTATCAGTATCCATAAAATAACTTTCTGAGGTTTTGATTGGGGTTGCATTGACTTTATAGATCAAGATGTGAAGAACGGACGTCTTGGCAATATTGAGTCTTCTTATCCTTGAACATGGAAAATCTCTCCATTTATTCCATTCTTTGATTTCATCCATCAGTTTTACAGTTTTCTGCATATAGATCCTGTACACATTTTGTTAGATTTATCCCTAAGTATTTCAAGGTGCCAGTGTACATGGTACTATTGTGTTTTTGAATTTCAAACTCCACCTGTTCTCTGTTAATATGTAGGAAGTGATTGATTTTTGTACATTAACCTGTATCCTGCGTCCTTGTTATAATTGCTTATTAGTTCCAGGAGTTTTTTTTTTTTTTTTTTTGGTCAGTTCTTTCAGATTTTCTACACAGATGGTCATGTCATCTTCAAACAAAGACAGTTTTATTTCTTCTTTCCTAATCTGTATACGTTTATTTCCCTTTCTTGTCCTAGTGCATTAGCTAGAACTTTCAGTACAGTTTTGAAAAGCAGTGCTGAAAGGGGACATCTATGCCTTGTTCCCGATCTTAGTGGAAAAGCTTTGAGTTTCTCACCATTAAGTATGATATTAGCTGTAGTTTTTTTGTATTTTTTATCAAGTTGAGGAGTTCCCCTCTATTCCTAGTTTACTGAGAGTTTTTATCACGGATAGTATTGGATTTTGTTAAATGCTTTCTTCTGCATCTATTGATATGATCATGTGACTTTTCCTTTTTAGCCTATTGACATGATGGATTACATTAACTAATTTTCGAACGTTGAACCAGTCTTGCATACCTCAGAGAAAGCTCATTGGTCATGCTGGATAATTCTCTTTATACATTGTTGGATTCAATTTGCTAATAGTTTGTTGAGTTTTTTCTTCAGCGAAGTTCATAAGAAATACAGGTCTATAGTTTTCTTATAATGTCTTTCACTGGTTTTGGTACTAGGGTAATGCTGGCCTTACAGAATGAGTTAGGAAGTATTCCTTTTGCTTCTATCCTCTGAAAGAAATTTGTAGACAAGTATAATTTCTTCCTTAGATATTTGGCAGAATTCATCAGTGAACCTATCTGGGCCTGGTGCTTTCTGTTTTGAAAGGTTATTAATTATTGATTCAATTTCCTTAATAGATATAGGCCTATCAGATAGTCTATTTCTTCTTGTGTGAGTTTGGGCAGTTCTGTCTTTCAAGGAATTGGTCCATTTCACCTAGGTTATCAAATTGGTTATTCATAGTATTCCTTTTATAGTATTTTGTAGTATTATCCTTTTAATGTCCATAGGATCTATAGTGATGTCCCTCTTCCCTTTCTGATATTAGTAATTTGTGTTCTCTCTTTTTCTCTGAGTTAGCCTGGCTAGAAGCTTATCAACTTCATTAATATTTTCAAAGAACCAGCTTTTTGTTTCATTGATTTTCTCTATTAGTTTCCTGACTTCAATTTCATTTATTTCTGCTCTAATTCTTATTATTTCTTTACTTCTGCTTACCTTGGATTTAATTTGCTCTTCTTTTCCTATTTTTCTAGGCTGGAAACTTAGATTGATTTTATTATTATTTATATTATTATTTATTATTTACTGATTTTATATCTTCCTTCTTTCCCAATATATGAATTCAATGCAATTTGAACCAGTCTTGCATACCTCAGAGAAAGCTCACTTGGTCATGCTGGATAATTCTCATTATACACTGTCGGATTCAATTTACTAATAGTTTGTTGATCCACCTGCCAACACAGGGGACACAGGTTCGATCCCTGGTCCAGGAAGATCCCACATGTGACGGAGCAACTAAGCCCACACACCACAACTCCTGAGCCTGCACCATAGAGCCCACGAGCCACAACTACTGAAGCCCGCGTGCTGCAACTACTGAAGCCCACATGCCTAGAGCCCATGCTCTGCAACAAGAGAAGCCACCGTAATGAGAAGCCCGTTTACCGCAACGGGAGTAGCCCCCGCTCGCCACAACTAGAGAAAGTCCGTGTGCAGCAATTCAATTTTCTTCTAAGCACTGTTTTTGCTGCTTCCCACAACTTTTGATGTGCTTTCATTTTCATTTAGTTCAAATATTTGAAAATTCCTCTTGATATTCCTTCTTTGATCCAAGTGTTATTTAGAAGTGTGTTGTTTTTTGTTTTTGTTTTTGCGGTACGCGGGCCTCTCCTGTTGCGGAGCACAGGCCCCGGACGCGCAGGCTCAGCGGCCATGGCTCCCGGGCCCAGCCGCTCTGCGGCATGTGGGATCTTCCCGGACCGGGGCACGAACCCATGTCCCCTGCATCGGCAGGCGGACTCTCAACCACTGCACCACCAGGGAAGCCCTGTTACAGTGTTTTGATCTCCAGTATTCTTTTTGGTTCTTTCTTAGGATTTCCTTCTCTCTGCTTACCTTGCTCATCTAATGGATGCCTACTTTATCCATCAGAGACCTCAGCATATGAATCGTAGCTGTTTTCAATTCCTCATCTGATAATTCCAACATCCCAGCCATGTCTGGTTCTGAATTTTGCTCTGTCTCTTCAAATTGTGTTTTTTGCCTTTTGGTATGCCTTGTAAATTTTTCTTGATAACCAGACATGATCTCCTGGGTAGAAGGAACTGCTGTAAATAGGCCTTTAGTGATGTGGTGGGAGGTCTGGGGATGGAGAAGCCTTCTGTAGTCCTTTGATGAGGTCTCGGTCTCTCAGTGAGCCTGTCCCTCTGGACCGTGAACTTCACAAGTGTTTCTCAGTTTCTGCTTCCCCCTTAAGTGGGACAGGATGGCTCGAGGTGGGTGCTTCCCTTCGCCCAAGTGGAAGGTGAGGGAAGTCTGGAGTGTATTTCCCCTCCCCAGGTCAGTTAGGCTGTGGTAATCCCCCTGCAGGCTGGGCTCTGGTGACCTGGTTTCCCCTGGGAGCAGGCCTGGTTAAGCACACAGTTGCTCTCTTCTGTCAAATGCTTTCCCTCCCCCGACAGGAGCAGGAGGGGATTTCTCTTCCCTGATATTCACTGTGAGGACCTGGTACAGCTCTTGGACGTAAAACTCACAATATCATGGGGTCCCCCTACCACGGGTCCCCTGGAGCCTCTAACTCTCTACTTGTCCCCCCTGAGCCTCCAGGGTCCATCATTCCAGTCCAGGCTTCCCTGGTTCCATGGCAGCTTCCACTCCTGAGTCACTCTTCCAGGACTGTCTGTCCCTCCAGTCTTGGGGGCAGTGGTTTGTCCTGTGTCCTCCTCTCCTTTCTGGATCCAAGAAGAGTTGTTGATTTTTCAGTCCATTCGGTTTTCTCCTGTTGTTAGGGTAGAGTGACAACTTCCAGGCTCCCTATGGGCTTTCAACAGCCTCTGTAGCTCTCAGCCCACCTCCACTCTGCAGACTGAGTCACAAAGAGCCAGCTCCCAAGCCCGATTCTCTCCAGCTGTGTGACTCTGGGCAAGAAAGTCACATTTCTGAGCTTCAGAGTCCCTGTCTTTGAAGGATACCACTTAGGACTGCAAAGGACTGCTCTGAGGAGGGTTAGGGTAAGTTACAAGTGGTTCAGCTCTGAGCCCTGGTACAGACTTGATAACTTCTTCCTGAATGAACAGAAGCCCCCTCTTCACATCACACTATTATTTCTAAAACCTTGCTTTCATCAGACCATATCCCTGCTCAAAAGCCTCAAAAGCAGCCCCCAAACTGCAAACAGTTGCTCTAAACTCTGGTCACCTATAGCAGCTACCACCTAGACTCTTCCTCTGGCCTTTAAATGCTGTTTTGAGGTGTTCTGTTACTTTTCTACGTGTATGTCTTTCTTGTCTCCTTAACTGGAATTTAAACTCCTAAAGGACAGGGACCCAATTCATAACACTTTGACAGTACCAGGCTTTCAATAAAGAATTTGTGGATAAAGAGGAGGAAGTGGGCTGGTGGGGGAGGGCAGAAAAAAAATTATTAAGAGGAGACAGAACATGGTGCCCCCTATTAAATAACATGGCGACCCCTAGACGACACTGAGCAGAACATAAGATGTCCAGGCCTCTTCTCTGGCACAAAGACTTCTTTTAAAAAGAACAGAAACGCTGGTGCACGTGGGTAGACAGTGTAAAACAGAGTCATATAACTGAGCAAGAACACAAAAGCAACAAAGGCGTGTTTTCCTGATTTGGACAGAAACACTAGCCTGTGTGATAACTATAATAATAGTATGAGTGAAAATGTAGGGATATTGATTATGGGAGAGCACTGTCTTGAGCTTGTTATATAAAGCATCTCACTTAATCTTCACAGAAATCCCATGTGGTTGGTACTAGCTTTACTCCCACTTCACAGATTGGGACACTGAGGCATTGGGAAATTCAGTGACTGGTCTGGAGCTGCCCAGCCAGTGAGAGGGGGGTAGAGACTACACATTCGGGGCTTCCACGACCCGCCGACCTGAGCGTCTCCACGCTCTTGCTTGTGGCTCTTCCCGGAACCCCCCCCCCGCCCAAGGCACGTCCTGCCTCGGGCCCTCGCACCTGCTGTCCCCTCTTCCGGAATGTTCTCCTAAAGACGAGCACACGGCTACGCCCTCAGCCCCTGCAGGTGTCACTCGGCGAGCCCTCCTGACCCAAGCAGCCATCCAACACGGCAGCCCTCCAGGGGTCCCACACCCCTTTCTACCCCTCTCTTCCCTTTAACGCGTGTCACCGTCTGGCACACTACAGGAGCTACTTATTCACAGGTGACCCTTGAACAACTCGGCGGAAATCCGGGTACCGCTCTCTCTGACTCAAAACCAAAAGGAACTGCTGAATGACTCAGGCAGGGCAGGAAGCTGGAACGGCGTGGGCAGAGTCAGGGCTCAAACCCCACGTCTTCTGATTCCGCGCGTTGTGATCTCTGATCCAACGCAAACCTTTCCCCACACCTAGTTCATTTAAAGATCCGTGCAGTGAAGATGCGGGTGCTACACTCGTGGGGGAAAAGCCCATGTCGGTGGACCCGGGCAGGGCAGACCCGCGAGGTTCCAGGGTGGCAGTGTGTCTGCCGTGCGCCTCCCCCCCGCCCCGCCCCGCCCGCGCGCCCTGGGCACTGACCTCACGTCGTTGCCGCCGTGCGCGAAGGAGCCGAAGCAGGCGGTGAGGACCTGCAGGAAGTGGAAGAGCAGGTGGACCTCAGCCGAGTCCTTCTCTTCCTTCTCGTCGTCCACCGCGTCATCGCGTGGCGGCTCGGGCTCGGCCAGCGGGGTGGCCAGGCGCACCTCCACGCCGCCCTCCTCGGCCTCGATCTCGGCCTCGGCCACGGCGTTGCAGTAGCTGGAGTAGCTGTCGTAGCGCAGCCGCCGGCGGGAGTAAGCCACGGCGTCGGCCACCAGCTTCTCGCTGTCCTCGGGCGCGGGCGCGTCGCCGCGGCGCGTGGCCAGGCCGGGCAGCCCGCAGATGGCCGCCGTGTAGCACGTGTAGCTGTTGTTGCGCCGCAGCAGCCGCGGGGCCCCGTCCGGCGCCGGCCGCTCGTCGCGGATGCGGTGCAGCAGGTCCTTGTAGAGACCCGAGTCCTTGTGCACCGTGTGATACACGTGGCCGTCGCCGCGTGCCGGGCCGTCGAAGCCGAAGGTCCCGTTAGACACGGGTGACTTGGCGCCGTGTGTCATGGACAGCGCCCGGCCTGCAGGGGGACAAGGGGACAGACTGAGAGCCGAGGTCATCTGGGGAAGGCGGGGTGGCAGGTGCTTTTGCTTTTTCCCACGTGCTCCATTTTCTAACTTGACTATGAAGGCCCTGCAGTATGGTTCAAATAAAAAGGGAAACTTGGAAACATACAACAAAGGGTAAGTAAAACTAATATGGTAGTTAAAAAATGATGTTACGGTCTCTTAAAATGTGTCTTCCAGAAATCGTGGTAGCATTCTCTCCTTTTCTAGGAACCAGTAAAAGGAGGATTCCCTGTAAGGAGCTCATTTTACAAAAAACTTCATATAAGAGGGACCCAACCCAGAACCCTGTGAGATACACACTGTAGATGCTCCTTAAAAATATGACACAAATGGACTCATCTATGAAACAGAAACAGAATCACAGACATAGAGAACAGGCTGGTGGTTGCCAAGGGGGAGGGGCTGGGGGAGGGTTGGAGTGGGAGGTTGGGATTAGCAGATGTAAGCTATTACATAGAGAATGGATAAGCAACGAGGTCCTACTGTACAGCACAGGGAACTATATTCAATATCCTGTGATAAACCATCATGGAAAAGAATATTTAAAAAAAGAATGTATATATATGTATAACTGAGTCACTTTGCTGTAGAGCAGAAATTAACACAACACTGTAAATCAACTATACTTCAATTTTTTAAAAAATGGCCAGTCCGGGCAGTCAAAGGCAGATCTGTCAGATCAGTGGGCAGTTTGTTTGCCTTCTTTGGCCAAGTCCCAAACGCAGCCTGGAAATCGGTGCCAGTGCCCCTGCAGGGAGGTGGGCCAGGCAGATGCTGGTGGCTGCCCATCACTGTCCAGAGATGCTGTGGGACAAAGGCCCCCCCCCAAGATGGTCCTGATGGTTTTTGTGATTCTCTAGTGGGACCCCCTCCCGTTCCAATGTCAGCTTTCGCTCTGCGTCTTCCAGGAGGAAGGTGTTCGTATTAAGCTGGATAAACCGACCTTCCGATCTCCAGCAGTTAGGTGACTGCACGTGGAAGATGCAGGTGAGGCACTCAGAGGGGTGGTACGGGGGGTCTGGGTGCCGCTGGGAGACTGTAGGTAAATGGCTCTTGGAGGAAAATCACAGGACACGAGTAAGCCTGCTCTGCGACTGCCTGGTCCCTGAGGCCTCTTTAGCACCTGGGTTTTCTCAAAGCAAAAACCGGGGGACACTTGTGTGCACTGGAGGCTCAGTGCCACACGCAGGCCAGCAGGCCCAGCGCCACCTCAGCCCCTGGGGGTCTTACCGTATGGTACGCGGGGGTGGTGTCCCCCTGTCGTGCTTTCTGAGGTTCCGGATGGCTCTGCGACCGACCCGGTGAGGGGGACGGTGCTGTCGTCATGAGCCCTGGCACCCGGTAGCTCTTTAAATACTGGAGACTCCGCTTCCTGAATTTTGTTGAGGCTTTCATCAGAGACTCGCGATAAAGCACTTTCTTTTTGTAATTTGCCTAAAGAAAATAGAGTCATAACTGAAAATTTTGTCAGAGAATTCTTGTTACTGACAAATGAATATAAAAATAAATATTTATCTTGTTACGTACTTACTTCGGGAATGAAGAAAAAAGTTAGACAAAATAAAGTGGAGAGTTCAATCATCTGGGAAACACAGGCTAGAAAACTCAGCTATGGAGGGAAAGATGGAGGCTTAGGCCTGAGTTATCTCATCCAAGACCAACAAAAAAGACAGGATTAGATTGATTCCCAAGGTAAACATTCTGTAAATACTACAACCATCTAGACTGGCCTTCTATTTTCTTAAACTAACCTCAGAATCCCTGAAATGTTTATCCTTTTTGTCTTCAAAGATACTGTTATAGTCTGCTTGGTTTTCTTCTGTTCAATAAATGACTGCTCTCAGATTTCTTCAGGCCACCAAATCTTCGGAAACAAGTAAATCATTTTCCTCAAAAGGAACAGAGAGGGCTTCCCTGGTGGCGCAGTGGTTGAGAGTCCGCCTGCCGATGCAGGGGACACGGGTTCGTGCCCCAGCCTGGGAGGATCCCACATGCCGCGGAGCGGCTGGGCCCGTGAGCCGTGGCCGCTGAGCCTGCGTGTCCGGAGCCTGTGCTCCGCAACGGGAGAGGCCACAACAGTGAGAGGCCCGCGTACCGCAAAAAAAAAAAAAGAAAGAAAAGAATGCTCTCCAGCTTTAAACTGCTTTTTAAAAATCCCTGGTTTCTTTTGAAAGTAAAGGATTTCTAAAAGTAAGTAGAATCTCTCTGTTCCTTTTTTTTTTTTTTTTTTTTGCGGTACGCGGGCCTCTCACTGTTGTGGCCTCTCCCGCTGTGGAGCACAGGCTCCGGACACGCAGGCTCAGCGGCCACGGCTCACGGGCCCAGCCGCTCCGCGGCATGTGGGATCCTCCCAGACCGGGGCACGAACCCGTGTCCCCTGCATCGGCAGGCGGACTCTCAACCACTGAGCCACCAGGGAAGCCCGAGAGCATTCTTTTTAACCAAATCTGGTGTGTGGTGCTGGTGATTTATGAGCTTGTTTCCTCACCTGAGTGGATGTCTAAGCTCTTCCCTACCCAACTGAAATGGAGACATTCTCGGTCCCTCTGCTGAACGCACCCAGCATCACCTCTATTTCTCTACTTACCTAGATAGTCAGATACAAGATAGATTTTTTAAAAACTAAATTTGTTATGTACTGCAAGGAACAAAAATGTGTGCATACAGATCTCTGACCTCAAGTTGCTTACAATCTAGATGAGAAAAGATAATATTTGTAAAGATTATAATAACAATTTTTAAAAAACAGTTTTTTTTTTTTTTTTTGGCCTCACTGTGCGGCTTGTGGTATCTCAGTTCCCCAACCAGGGATTGAACCCGTGCCCCCCTGCAGTGGAAGCGTGGAGTCCTAACCACTGGACCGCCAGGGATTTCCCAAAAAAACCTGTTAACACATGAAACAGGTATTATTATTTTCTCTCCTTTATAAACAGCAAACTGAGGCCCAGAGAGATTAAGTCATTTGCCGAAGGTCACATAGGTAGCAAAATGCAGTCGGTTTACTCTCTGTCCACGCCCTTAACCACAGTCTGTACTTAAATGAATAGAAAAAGTTACATGTATACTGAAATGTCAAAATACATGGCATTGACCAAAAAATCTCCTGGGAAGCCAGTATGGGTAGTGATGTCCGTTTCCTGCTGTAACATTATAGCCTAAATGTGGAAGAAAAGATTTTATGGCCCGTTTCACATTAAGGCTCAGCTATTAGAAAAAGCCTTTAGGCGTCAGAGCATTTAAGTATAGTTTATCACCTCCCACGGGGTTAGGTCAGCCAGGCAGGATGTTTAAGGTGGGCTCCTTCCCACCCTAGAGTGGGAACGGCTACACAGGGGACGAAGCAGCAGCTGGTCATCAATCTGGCTTCACTGCTTAGTTTCAAGTTGTATGTATTCATGCCGTTTTTTTATTACTAGTTTTTAAATCTACATGCAGTAAATTGGCTCTGTCTGTGTGTGTAGAATCTTGAGTCTAACAAACGTCTAGATTCCTACAGACAATCCACAATCAGGATAGGGAAGGTTTCCATCAGCCCCTAAAGCCTCCCTGGCAGTCAGCCCCTCTGCCCATCCCTAGCCTGTGACAACCGCTGATCTGCTCTCTGTCCCTACAGTTTTGTCTTTTCCACATGTCATATAAATGGAACCATAAGACATGAGCTTTTGAGGCTGGCTTCTCTGACCTGGCATGATTAGTGCCTCTGAGGTTCATCCAAGTTGTTGCAGGTTTCAGTAGCTCACTCTTCTTCACTGCCAAGCAGTGTTCTAATACATAGATGTATTTATTTACATAAATACGTGCTTGTTTATTCGTTCTGTGGATAATCCGTGCTGTTTCTAGGTTTTGGTGATGGCAAATAAAGTTGCCATAAACATTCATATCCAGGCTTTTGTGTGAATTTAAATTTGCATTTCTCTAGGGTAAATACCTAGGAGTGGGTAAGTGTATATTTAACCTTATAAGAAACCACCAAACTGCTTTCCTGAGAGGCTGCACCATTTTGCATTCCCACCAGGAGTACACGAGCATTCCAGCTGCTGCTCAGTCTGTAACTTGTCTTTTTAAATTCTCTTAATAGTGTTTCTCACAGAGCAACAGTTTCTGACTTTGATGAAGTGTGATTTACCAACTTCTTTTATGAACTGTTTTTGGTATCATATCTAAAAACTCTTTGCTTCACCAATGGTCTCAAAAGTTTTCCCTTCTTTGTCCTAAAAGTTTTATAGTTTTCTGTTTTACATTTTTATCTATGATGCATCTTGAGTTAATTTTTACAAGGTGTAAGGCTTAGGTCAAGGTTCTCTTTTTGGCATTCAATATCCAACTGTTCCAATACCATTTATTGTAAGGACTATTCTTCCTCCATTGAACTGACTTTGTATTTTGTCAAAAATCATTTGGCCATATATATTTGTGGCTCTGTTTCTGGACTCTGTTCTGTTAATCTAGATGTCTCTTCACCAATTCCATACATTCCTGTAGCTTTATAGTAGCTCTTAAAGCCAAGCAGTACAGGTCTTTCAAATTTACTCTTTTCCAAAATTGCTTTGGCTATTCCAGTTCCTTTCCCTTTCCATATAAATTTTTAAAGTGACTTGTCTAAATCTACAAAATATCCTGCTGGGATTTTTATTTAAATTGTGTTAAATGTATAGACTGATTTGAGACAAACTGACATTTTCCGGTATTGAGTCTTTGCGTTCATAAGCATGGTATGTCTCCTCATTTGTTTTGTTCTTTGAAATATGGGTTTCTCAAATTCAGATATATCCGTATGAACGTGCGATTGTAAGGTACACTCTGAGGCCAAAATTAAATACTTCTTTTCTTTTGAGAGCCCTGTAAAAGGCTCTGTGTGGCCTCCAGACTTGGAATTCAATCATGTTGCCACTGACAGGAAAATACCTCCTGCAATTTTCTAAGCCACAGTCATCTTCTTTTTTTTTTTAATTGCTTTCATTGAGGTATAATTTCCATACAGTGAAATTTATACATTTTAAATGTACAGGTAGATGACCCGTGACAAATGACTACAGCCTGTAACTACTCCCCAATTAACAGAGTCCTGCAAAGTGCCTCCTGTCCCTAAAGTTCCCTCCAGTCCCTACAAAGTTCCCTCCTATCCCTGCAAAGTCCCCTCCTGTCCCTAACGTTCCCTCCTGTCCCTACAAAGCTCCCTCCTGTCCCTGGAAAGTTCCCTCCAGTCCGTACAAAGTTCCCTCCTGTCCCTAGAGTTCCCTCCTGTCCCTGGAAAGCTCCCTCCTGTCCCTACAAAGCTCCCTCCTGTCCCTGCAAAGCTCCCTCCTGTCCCTACAGAGTTCCCCTCCTGTCCCTGCAAAGTCCCCTCCTGTCCCTGCAAAGTCCCCTCCTGTCCCTAAAGTTCCCTCTTGTCCCTTGTGCCCCTTTGCAGTCGGTCTCCAGCAACCAGTGGTTTCTCCCGCTGTGGATTACCGTTCCCTGGAATCACGCAGTATGTACTCCTTTGTGTCTGGCTTCTCCCGGTACTTCTCCTCTTCACTGCTAATTCGTCTTCTATTGTATGAATAGACCATAATTTGGTTATCCATTCGCTTGTTAATGAGCATGCGGGTTGTTTCCGTTTTTTGCCTAGTATGACTGACCAATTTGTGTACAAGTCTTTTTATTTCTCTTGGATAAATACCTAAGAGTGGAATTAATGGGCCACATGGTAAATGTTTGCCTAACCTTACAGGAAACTGCTCAACTAACTTCCCCCATGGCTGTACCAGTTTTTATTTCACCATAAATATATGAGAATTCCAGTTATCACACTTGTAATCTAGTCTTTCTACCTTTAGCCATTCTTGAGGGAGGGAAGTGCTACCTGACTGTGTTGTTGATCTGTGTAATCTCATGTTTCTCAGCAGACAGTTACCTTCCATTAGCCACGGCAACTAGGACCTCACTGTCACCTGGGTCCCAAGTTACCAAGGAAAAGTTTGAGTCAGAAAGCCGTCAGGAGCCACGAGCCAAGGACTGGCCTGATCTCGGTGTGCGTCCCTCTGTCAGTCAGGATCACCGTGGACGACAGCGAGGGCTCAGCAGTCAGAGCACTCTTGCAGATCAGAAGAACGGCAAAGCCCTTACCTGCTATCTTTCTCCGCATCCACGGACACACACAGAGCCACACGAAGAGGGCGAACAGCAGCGCGACCCCGAAGGAGATGAGCACAATCGCCCACATGGGAAGGACCAGGCCCAGCACTGGGGATAAAGGGGATACTTCTCAAACGTTGGGCATCACATCCACATACCTGCCGTTCCCCAAACCTGAAACGAACCACCTGGATTCCATGTTTAATACAACTCTCAGCCAAAAAAGATGTGCTAGGCCTTCAGGGCGTACAAAGCTGTGTGTTTAAGACACACAGCTTTGCAAATATGTGGTTAAATCAGTAAGTAACCTAATTATTAAAAATCGACCAACTTGGCACCAACGGCATATTAAGTTGGGAATAAACCCATTTACAGTATTACCTCAATATCTAAATTCCTGAGTGGACAAACAGGGGTAACAGAGGGTCCGTCTTCCCTCCTAGTGCCCCCGCCCCCGCCCCCGGGCAGCGCGAAGCCCAGGGCTGCAGCAGGCACAGCAAGGCGGGCAGCTGCCTCTTTGGTTTCTCAATAGTCAGCAGCCCGGCTTTAAATGGACATGACGCTCAGATCACACACACAAACCTTTTTTAACGTCAGATGAAATTGAGAAACAGCAGACACAGGAAGAGTCTGCTGCCCCCTTCGTAAGTGCCTGAAAGCAGGGCATAAATTTCTTGTGAGAAACGTGCCTTCCTTTTTCCAGGAAGAGCAAAGTGACCCTCACCACTGGAAACAAGGCACCAATACCAAGATAAGTCTGCACACACAGACCTTGCTAAAATAACCGTTCTATTCTGTTTCCTCCTGTATTTCCTAGTCACTTTCCATAATTGATCACCCTTTATCAAAATGGTATATAAGTCCCAAAGTCTAACTGCTTCTTTGCGTGTTCACGTCTTTTCTGTGAAGGCCTCCATATGCATAAATCAACCCTTTCTACTGTTAAAAATAAAATAAAATAAAAACTTAGATAGCAAAGCTTTTTAAAAGGACACTGACTTTGAAACTCAACTCTTCTTTGAAGTGTCAACTCATGGAATTACAACGTAGAAAAACTTTTCATTACTATCCAGTCCAGCACACAAAGTGGCCATTCCATCAGCCAGTGAAAGTACGGAGGGTGGAGAAGCATCAGGCTTCCTAGCCCCGTGGGCCCCAGAGCCCAGCTCTCCCGGCCGCACAGGCGTGACTCACACACGCTCACAGGTGCACCCTTGCACAGGCACAAAGATATAGGCACAGGAACACTCACTACAGCATTATTTGTAATGGGAAGAATTTGCAAGACGACCGATACACGCATCATTCCATGGAAACGTTGTCAGTGTGGTGCAGAGCGTAAAAGTGAGGTCGGTCTAAACGTACTCATAAGGAAAGAGGCCCGCGATCTAGTTAAGTAAGAAAGGCCATCTGGATCATGGTGTGTGTACCATGACCCAATTTATGTTTAGAAGAGAAAACAACCCCACACATACACTCCTACCATATGTGTGAATAGACAGAAAAAGTTCTGGAAAGAATCAGTGGTTACTCCTGTGGAGAGATGAGAAATTGGAGGGGGCTCTCCCTTCTCACTACATATACTTTTGTACTGTTAACTTTGAAAATTTATAATGGGCACACACTTTTGTAAATTGTTAAACTTTTTTTCAAAGTTTGAAAGGAGTGAACTATTTAAAACTTTGCTCTTAAACAAATCTCTAATGATACAGGTTTTGTTAGTTACACTGTTAGCCACTCTATACATACAAACCAACTTACAGTTACTCAGGTAAGGTATTATTAGACATTTTGATAATGGTAAGAGGGAGAACAGGTAGTTAATACTCTAACTGGGGAGGCAGAATGAACATATATAAATATGAAAAACAAAAAACCAAGATCACCCAGCCTTAGTACCGTGGAGGGGTCGCTGGTGCCAGCAGACACTCAGCGGTCAGGCCACTCCACCCTCAAACGCCCGATTACACCAGAAAGCATATGGCCCCATGCAGGGCTGTACTGAGACACCTGGCAGCCCTGCTCCAGCCCCGGCTGTGGCCTCAGATCCGAGGCTTGGAACTGCTTGTAGAACCACTCAGGCTGACCTCACTGGCCACGCTCACGGCCACGGCTTCCTGCTTCTGCTTTATGTCTTCGTGCCAGTGTCTGATACATGTGGTAAAAGACCACTCCAAAGCTGTTTCTTGCTAACTGAGTGGTAACTGTTAATTACCAACATCAAACTGATGAACGAACATCAACACCAACTACAGCTTAAAAATACTTGGCTTTTGAAGAGGTTTCACGGTTTCCTTGGTGGTTCCTGGTTCCGTTGATGATAAAATTGTTACTTGGGCTACTTTTGGCTTCACTGCGTTAACTTGATCTAAGACAGGCGAGCTCTGGGTACTCTGGGGAGGGGATGCAGTTTGGGAGCTGGATATAGGAATATTTAAACGAGTGAATACTTTTGCCCCCAGGCCCCGTTTGCTTCCTTCCCTGCCGAGCAGAGCTCACGACAAGGCAGGGCAGGGCTGCTCTACGTGCGCCTTCCAGGCCCGTCTCCACGCTCTCCGCGGAGGTCACATGAGTTCTGGAGGGTGTCAGGACCCACATCCGAAAGGGAGGAACTGAGGCCGGCTACACGACTTCTGATGCTTCTCTTAGACAATAAGCCACAATGTCACCTGACCCTTGAACCTTTACCATCACAACTACCTTCGCCATCGGTTTGGCCTGGGAAGTGGCCAAGAAGGTCCGAAGCCACCCTCTGAGTCACAAGAACTGGACGGGAGGTCAGGGGCTCCACACATCACTGAGGGTGGAAGGGGTGGGAGACAGAGGGAAAAACCAAGGGTGTGAAGCACCAGGGGTGAGCAACCAGGAAAGCGGGGGCAGTCATCCATGGTGAGTAAGAGAGGAGAGAGGAACAGAACGGGAACAGGACTTGGGTCTTACCAAATTATTATGCCAATTTAGTAAATTAACAGAGCATCAGAAGTGCACAGGATTGACGTACATACAAAACAGAAACAGACTCACAGGCACAGAAAACAAACATGGTTACAAAGGGGAAAGTGGGGGGATAAATTAGGAGTTTGGGGATTAACAAATACACACTACAATATATAAATAAGGATCTACTGTAGAGCACAGGGAACTATACTCAGTATTTTGAAATAATCTATAAGGTTAAATCTTATAGTAAAAGAACCTGAAAAAGAATGTGTGTGTGTGTGTGTGTGTGTGTGTGTGTGTGTGTGTATATATATATATATATATATATATATATATATATAAAACTGACGCCTGAAACTGTACACGTGAAAAAAAAGAAAAGCGCACCAGGATTTACTTTTAAAGCCTGCATATAAGAAATGCAGACTGACAGTTACGGGATGCAGCTCTAAACTGTACTAAATACATAAAATCAACTTTCATGGATAAAAAAACAATTAAATGTAAAAATCCAGCACGGAAAAGCCTTTGAATCAACGTACCTCCAGGGGAAAACTTTTTTTCTTCTGAAGATTCAAGGTTGACCTTTTCACAACAAAATTTTTGACAAAAATACTTCTCACTGATCAGCCTTCCTGCGAGGATCTCAAATTGTTTTCCGGTAACAGCACTCCAGAGGGCACTGAGGCCCGGCGCCGTCACCCCGCGGAAGGCAAAGTAGGACACGGCTTGAATTGCTCCGGTCCCCGCGGCCAAGAGCAGCTGCCAGGAGCCCACACTGGGTGCTCGCAAGCCCAGGCCTCACTCCAGCCCCTAAATGGCCTTTCATCTCAAGCTCTTTCATTTTCTGAACAGCAAAGATATGATGAATAGTGATTTAGCTCTAACCACAAGCATCCTTGCAACTCTCTCCCAAATCCCCCGAAGATCAGGATATTCAAGTGACATGAGGAAAAGCGGAGAACTTTTTAGAAACACAGTCTTCTGGAGTCATTATTACTTTGCTACATCTCTTGTTTTTCATATGTAACAATCATTGTTAGACTCTAATAAAATACGTTAAGCTTCTATAAAACCAGTAAGGCTTTTTAGCCCATATTAGTTCCCTTACACCACTCATCCGCCTCTCCGGCACGCTCCCTTCTCTCTCTCGGGTTTAATTTTAAAAATAATAATATGGTTATACAAATATCATCCATAGATAATCATCAAGGACCTGCTGTACAGCACAGGGAACTCTACTCAGTACTCTGTAATAACATATATGGCAAAAGAATCTGAAAAAGAATAGATATATATATGTATAACTGAATCACTTTGCTGTACACCTGAAACTAGCACAACACTGTAAATCAACTAGACTTCAATATAAAATAAAAATTAAAAAAAATTAAAAATATCAGCTGTATAAAACCATATCACGTACAACTGTGGAAATTCCTCGTCGTCCATCCTTCTGGAACCCACTTCCCAGGGTAACACTGTTAACTATTTGGTGTGTATCTTTTCAGGCATTTTCTAGACATAAACATATGGTGCAGAGTGTTTGTGAGAATTTTTTTTTCTTTTCCTTAAATTTAATAGATGTAAATCACACTGTATATATTCTTCTGTGCCTTCATTTCTCACGTAACAATATATTATGGACATCTTTCCACAGTAACACGCACACACAGACACACGTCTGCCTCATTTGTAGAATTACTTTTTACTAGTCCTCCCTTCCCTGATAAATGAAGTTTCTAGTTTTTGTTTTGTTTTAGATCAACACGCTCAAGCATTAGAGGAGCTCCCTATGTGAAAGGAATCCTGGGGTAACTTTAAGAAAATGAAGCATTGGGCTTCCCTGGTGGCGCAGTGGGGGCTTCCCTGGTGGCGCAGTGGTTGAGAGTCCGCCTGCCGATGCAGGGGACACGGGTTTGTGCCCCGGTCCGGGAAGATCCCACATACCGCGGAGCGGCTGGGCCCGTGAGCCGTGGCCGCTGAGCCTGTGCGTCCGGAGCCTGTGCTCCGCAACGGGAGAGGCCACAACAGTGAGAGGCCCGTGAACCGCAAAAAAAAAAAAAAAAAAAAAAAGAAAGAAAATGAAGCATTGTTTTGAAATTCAAAAATGCTATTTCCTAATTTGTCCTATAGTTGGGATTTTTTTTTTATGCATATGGTACCAGCTTTCTCAAACCAGGGTTCATTTATAATAATTCTGAGAAGGAAGTGAGTTTAAATCACTCTGTTCTGAACCAAGCTCTCAGTGATACTGGAGAATCTTCTCAGCCCAGGCCTTCCCCACCCAGGGCCCTGGGCTGGGAATCACTGAAGCTCCAACGCCCAGCTTCTCTACAGCCCAGAACATTCTCTACAGCTAACATGGAACACAGAGGTCCTCTGGGAACAAAGCTCCTTCTCCCGAGTCAGTGGGGACCTGAGGGGTGGCTGATGCTCTGGTTCCCTCGAGGGGGCTGGACCAGAAGAGCTGCCACTGGAGGAGGAGGAGATGGAGGAGAAGGGGGAGGGGGAGGGAGGGGGAGGAGATGGAGGGAGGGAGAAGGAGGAGGAGAGGGAGAGGGAAGAGAGGAGGAGATGGAGGAGAAGGGGGAGGGGGAGGGGAGGGAGGAAGAGGGGGAGGGGGAGATGGAAGAGATGGAGGAGAAGGGGAGGGGAGGGGGGGAGGAGGAGGAAGAGGAGATGGAGGAGGAGGGGGAGGCAGCCCCATCTCAGGTGCAGACCACTCTGGGGAAGCCAGAAACCAGGCCTGGTTAAGTCTGAGAATTCATCTGCTAGTAAGGAGTGAGCAAAGGTTGCTAGCTAGAGCTTTTGAAGAGCACCCCTTACATGAGAACCGTGATAAGGCAGCGGCGTTTACGGTAAAAGGTTATGATAAAGGGGTGGTTAGGGCAGGGGTCCTCTAAATGCACATGCATCCGATCACCCAGGGTCTCCCTGGTAAACACAGACTGCTGGTCTGCATTTCTGGTTCATCGGGTCTAGGGCTGAGCCTGAGAATCTGCATTTTTGACAAGTGTCCATGTGACGCTGATGCCGCTGGTCTAGGGACCACACTTTGACTTAGAAAGCTTCGTTAGCTGATCTGCTCTGACGCCTCAGAGACGTGTGCCATGAACCTCAGCATTTGTTCTTTAAATGCTAAACAAAAAACAGGTCCTGTACAGCTGAAGACTTTCCTTAAAAATAAACTTCAGGCTTCTATCTAAGCCAACCCAAGTGAGTACTTTATTTTCCTCAAGTTATTTTTGCTGCTTGCAAATTATTTTTTAAAGGACAAAAATGCAAAGACAATTTTTTAAAGTGCAACTCAGTTTCTGAAGGATGACTTTTGAGAAAAGTCATGTCAAACGTAAAGTAAAACAAATCAAGCTAGGCTCAAGATATAAACAACTTCAAAATAACTTAGAGAGGAGGAACAGAGGAAGTCAAACCAGAGCCCTGTAACTCAACAGCCCACGGGTCCCCACTGAATTCACATCCATCTAGAAAAAGGCTACTTATCAGAATCTCTGAAAGTTGAAACGGGGTAAGGTGAATGCTGCCACTCGTTTTTGTTAGCAAACTTTTCATTCTTTCCTCTTATCTCTGGGGCCTATGTGTTGAACGGAAGCGTTCTAAGAAAGAAAAGGACTAGCAAGAATAAATTCCAACAGGCAGAAAGGCAGGCAAGTTCTAAAAGGGGCAGAGGACCGAGTCACTGGGGAAGTGATTCTTCCCAGCCCAACCCTATCCCCAACTATGACGCCACAGCTACAGATGACCATAGGATGGAATTAATGTCTAGTTTTAACCTTAGATGTTTAAATAAAAATAGGATTTAGACTTACCTATTGAATATCCCATAAACACTCCCCAGGAGCCAAGACATTAGCAAAGTCCTTTTCTGACTGAGTGTATTCTGATCATCATTAACAGCGACATTAGGTACCAGGCACTAGATACTGCGTGTCTTACCCCTGCCCCATCGTGTGTCAGAAGAATGTCATATAACTGGGGCTCGGGACCAGGCTGCCCACTTAACGTCTGCTTCTGCACCTGACTAATATGTGACCTTGGGCACTCAGTCAGCATCACTGTGCCTGCTGCCCACCTGTCAGGGGGCGTTAGCAATATTACCAATTTCCCAGTGGAGTTCAGAGGACACAAAGGATTAATTCGTGTAAAACTCAGCTCAGTAAAAGCATTTATTATTTATTTTTCACAACTTCTCTATGAAGTATTTATATTATCCTTAGTTGTCTCATCCATTATCTAGTTTCATTTTCTCTAGAATTTTTTTTTTTTTTTGCGGTTCGCGGGCCTCTCACTGTTGTGGCCTCTCCCGTTGCGGAGCACAGGCTCCGGACGCGCAGGTTCAGCGGCCACGGCTCACGGGCCCAGCCGCTCCACGGCATGTGGGATCTTCCCGGACCGGGGCACGAACCCGCGTCCCCTGCATCGGCAGGCGGACTCTCAACAACTGTGCCACCAGGGAAGCCCTTCTCTAGAATTTAGTCCCTTAGTAATCTGATTCTTCTAGCAAATTTGCAATAAAACTGCAGCAAAAGATGAGAAAAAGAAGTGATGGAAAAAATAGGTAAGTATGGGAAAAGTCAAATTTTAATAAAAATCATACAGTTGTGGTCTTCTGACATTCAGACCGAGAACCAGGGAGCAAGAAGAATAGAGGCTAGGAAAAACAAAATGCAGAAACAGAACTAAATGGTTGTCATTTACACCAATTCCCACTTCCAGGACTCGCACCCCGGCCTTCATTTGTTTAATCTCTTAAATCACTAGCCCGGGAGGTGTCTGGCTATTGACGGCTGGTAGGCTTTTTGTTCCGTTACCCTGGGCTCTGAGAGCCTGCACAGAACTAAGAACAAGGGCTCAGGTGGACAAGACATCTCTCTGCTACGGCTGACTTCCCACCTGGCGCTCCGGGACCCGCCCAGCACCACATGGAAGCTTCGTGAGATTCACAGACTTGGGGTGGGGTGAACTTCAACTTCATGGTATGCAACTGCTTTTACTCTGCCTCTGTTTTTTTGTTATGGATCATGAAAACAGTCTGTGACAAACACACTTCATATTCCGTGAATGATCAAGCCCAAAGGGCCGTCAGGCCACTGTCATCTGAGGCTAGGGTTTCATCTCCCTCCAGCTCACCATGACGTTCAGCCTTGTGCTTTTCAGATTACTTAGAACCGCTGTGGTGCTTCACGCCCTCTCCCTTCACCCAAAGTCTGAAAGCCCAGTACACAAACATAGAATTAGGTATGGCTATACAATCCGAGAAAAACTGCCTTGAGAAAACCCGGTGGGAGAAATTAATAAGGATTTCTCCCGTTTGGGAAGAGGGCGCTTTCAACTGTAATACGACACACCATTTAGCAGAAACTTTATCTTTTGAACAGAGAGAGGGAGGTTTTAATCAGATATGGCCTGTAACTGAATCTTAATCCTTAAAGGACATTAACAAGGAGGAAAACGGCACACACAAACATCTCTGCTCACTCTGGCCATCCCACAGCAATGGGCGTGTTCAGGATCCAGCTGTAAGAGGCACATCTCACAGAGGGGTGGGGGACCCTCTCTACCGAGACACGCATGGAAATGGTGAGAGAGAACAGCTAACCACCTCCTCCGCACGGGAGTGTTATGCAAATGACAGTCCTGTACGCCAGTTCTTCCTTACCCACTGAAAACGTAAAAGAAAGGAACTTTTAGCCCTGCTCCAGCCCAAATCCTTGAAAAGAAAGAACAAAAGGCATCGGAGTGGGAAGAAAAGGAGCAATTCTGAAAAGAAAGTCATCACTGGTTCCAGTATCTGGAACGCAGAACCAGAACGGCAGGGCTCTAGTCCCTGGACTCACAGGTCCGACGACTTCCGGGCGGTTCGATGCTTGCGCTGTGGACCACGTGACAGCCCCGCCCCGGACTGTCCCAAGGTGGTGACCTACTGCTTAAGCGAGCTCCCCCCTGCCTCCAGTGGCCCCCCCAGCGCAGGGAGGCTCAGGCTGTCCGATCACGTTCTGCGGCTCAGCACCAGGAATCTGAGGCACAAGGGGGATTTCAATTTCCTTTTTTTAACCTGAAGTCTGTTGCCTGTGTACTTCACGTCTCTCTTGAGTATTTAAAACAAGTAAAGGCATCTCCTACTCTTTTCACTGCTCCGCAGTGAGTACTGATTTTGAGTAATGCTTCTGACTGTTGGCCAACAAACCCACCACGGCCGCTGGACTCTGACGCCACCTGCTGGCCGTGGCCTCCCGAGGGCTCTTACCTGGGGCTCCTGTGTACATGACGGAGAACACATTGATCGCGATGGTAGCGGCATAGAACACGGGAAGCGCCCGGAGGCCGCTGGGAACGGGGTCCTCCTGTGGGGCAAGGAGATAAGGGGGCAGGTCAGGACTCCAGGGGCATCTGCAGGCAGCACAGGCGAAATGACACAAGTCATTGTTCCGGGAAAGCCCTGTCCCTGCCGCAGGCTGTGTGCACCTCCAGACCCGGGGCTGGCCTGGGCTGACCCTCCTCCTACACGAGTGCTGTGGCAAAGGGCCCATGATGGTGACCAGCAGACGCATTAATGCGCTGGGATCACATGAGGTGGTGACAGATGTGGGGACAGAGAAGGGCTGTTGGTGAGGCCAGCTTCTGGGACTAAAGCCCTGACCCGGAGCGCTCACTATTCTAGCTACATTCACATTGGCCCAAAAATCCACTTTCAGCAAATATTTTGAGGCTTGACCCTCTGAGGATGCCCTGAGAAAGTCAAATGACTTCAACACCACGGCATTACTACTAGATTTCATGGTACTCCGTGACACGATCCGGGTTTGCTGTGTTGAAATATATAAAGCAAGGAAATACAGGACCACGTGCTATGACTTTCAGAATCCTTTCACGAGGTGGAGCATTCCACCTTCAACTATTAAAAAGTGAAAAGAACTGTGGGTTCTTTGTCTAAGAAAACATTTTTTTACAACCTTAGGCTTCTGGTACAACACTTCCGAAATCTAATATTTCAGCGAGAACAGTACTGCACGTGTTTTAGGCAAAGTCACACCTGGGAGAATATTCGAAATTTAGAGTTTACAGAGGAAAAATATAGAGTTTGAGGGTTTAGATCTACAGAGGATTTTGAAGCAAAAATATGAACCGGGAACTCCTCGACGCAGAACTGGCATGTAGGTGTTGCTTAAATAATTCAAACACGGGCTAATTTCTGATGACCATGTAAGGCACTCTTGTACATTGGTATGAGTCTATGACCCACCCATGATAAAAGGAAAATTAGGTCTAAGTCTTGATGTGAGCTACAGAAGTCAGGGTAAGTACAGACTATCTCACAGTTCCTAGTTGACAGTTCCTACTGTCAAATGCAAACGTGTGCAAATCAAGTAGGTTTGCAGAACTGTAAACTCATCAAGAACCCGCCTGCAATGTCTCAAGCGGCCACCAGCACTTGTCAGGAGGCCTGAGGTGAATGGAAGTGAGATGTCAGGAAAGGGAGAGCTGGGGTGGAAGGTGATTCAGCCGCATGGGAGCCCCAGCCACAGTCACAGGAGGGCAGGTGAGGAACAGGTACAAAGGGATGGGCAGGAGCCTGGGACGAGGCACATCACCTCCCGATCTGCCGTGGACCTGGGACAGGAACCCAGGCTGAACTGAAAACGAAACGCTGCGACGTTCACATGCCTACTGCCTCCGCTTCCAAAATGCTGTTTTCTCGGGGACGACGGCTGCTACAGAAAGACTCCCAACCAGTAACTCCTGAAGGCGTAAAGTCTTCAGTTTGCGTGTTGTAACTGAATCACCTTATGTTTTCTCAAATAACCTATTCTTTTTTTTTTTTTTTTTTTTTTTTTTTTGCGGTACACGGGCCTCTCACTGTTGTGGCCTCTCCCATTGCGGAGCACAGGCTCCGGACGCGCAGGCTCAGCGGCCATGGCTCATGGGCCCAGCCGCTCCACGGCATGTGCGATCCTCCCGGACCGGGGCATGAACCTGTGTCCCCTGCATCGGCAGGTGGACTCTCAACCACTGCGCCACCAGGGAAGCCCCAAATAACCTATTCTTAAAACGCAAATGGCAGCTGTCTCATTGAGACCCGTCTCCGTTCCTCCTCCTGTCTCGATCCCTCCCTCCATCCCTCCTTCCTTTCCTTCCTTCCCTGCACCCATCACCTGCCCCCCATCCAAGCAGCCATCCCTCTCTTAACAGATGTTCAACCGGCGTCTCTGAAGGGCTAAGCAGCGCTGGGCGCCATCTACGCATGCGAAGAGACAGTCACGGTTTCTACTCTCACAGATCTTACAGTCAAATAGCGAACAGGGGGCCAAGCAGGAGATAAATCGCTGCACAACGACGCGAGTGCAATGATAAGAAGGCAGTGAGCGTGTGGGGATACAGAGGGATGTACCCAAGCGGAGGCTGGGGCAGGAGAACCTGGGAAGTGACTCCTGGCGGGGGGCAGATGACGGGGGTGCAGGGGGGGCAAGAGTGGGTGGCACCTTCCAAGATGTTACTGGGTCCTAGGACAGCCCGACCCCGGAGAAGGGCTGGTGAGTTTGTGACCATCCAAGAGAGTGAGCCCGCCTAGAAGAAGAGCTGTGTCTTCAAGCAAGGAGACGGCTGAAGGCAGGCGTGTCCCGATGTGCTCGCGTGTGCGGAGCAGCCAAAGGCAAGCAGCAGGGCTTATGAAACGCAACAGCCCCTTGATGGGCAAATCGAAACGTAACCAAGGTTTTTTTTGTTTCTTGCCGAGAATACTGATCTCAGTAAGCTTCCATTTTCATCTCATTTCATTTTTGATAAAAATGTACCCACACACCCCCCGCCCCCGTAGGTGTTATTTCCTTCTTTTTATCCTATCCTCAAGGATAGGAAGAAAACCAGTGTCTGAAGCTTCCTTTCTCCATTAAAAAACAGAAAACACCTTACATTTGCGTAAATAAATTCTCCAGCTGTTTTTAGTGCTAGTTAATTTCAAAATCGTAACACTATCTTCCTCTATTCTGTTTACTGTTCACAAAATAATTATCTTTCCTTTTTTGAGGTGTGAGCACAGTGCCCAAGAATGCTGACCAACGAACTAAGTCATATGGCAAGACACCTCATGTCCAGTGCTGGTTCTGGGGGAGCCCCTGGGTACTCTACCCACCTCTTCCTGCCTACTTTTGAATAACGTCTAATTCCAACTTCAGGGGGCTGTGCCTTAACAATTATTCCTCTGACCCCTCTCACTATTAATTTCTATTGAGTAGAACCAAAATTAGGTCTAAAACTTAATTAAAAAAATAATAGCCTCACTTACCTTTTTTAAGATGAACTTTCTGATCAGTACAAACAGCACGCCAGACATGAAACCAGACAACAGCGGAGATATAAACCAAGAAGCAACTGAATAATCAAAAGAAAATCTAATGAATGTTAAAATTCTACATAATTCAGGTCCTATTTATATAATACAGTGATAACCAACATATAGCACATACATTAGTAAACATTCCTGGAATTGTTCACCTTGACTCAGAACCCAACAAACCCACTGCCTTGGCAGACTGACCTCCACATAGGGGTCACCGTCCTCACAAACAGACCTCAGGCCACGGCACACACACCACCTCCCAGCTCCGGCCTCCGACGACGGTTCCTTTGATTCCCACTGAGCCCCTTCTGCCTGCCCTTCGTGCAGCCCCATCCCTGGACCACCTTCCCTTTCAATTTCCAAGGCCAGCCTGGTACTGCCACCCCGTAGCCTCTGGCTGCACACTGGAAACATCTGCAGAGTTTTCAAAACCTAGTTACGTTCTGGGTCCACCCACAGAATTCTCATTTAAAAGGTCTGGAATGGGGTCTGGGCACTGATATCTTTAAATTGCTCTCCCAGGTAATTCGAAAGTGCAGCCAGAATCAAGAACCACTGTTCTAGAAGCCTGGGACCTCGGGTGAGTTTCCTGGGATGTCAGGTGAGTTTCCTGGGGTCAGCAGAGTTCCCTGGCAATCTGTGTCCTGCTTGCAGTTCAGGGATCCGCTTATCCTAGGGCTCCTAAGGCCACTATGATTCGTAAAAGGATGGAGATGGGCGAGAGAGAGTGTTTTTCACAATGGGCGTGTTGGTACTTAGGGGGCTGAAAGGACTTCCCCCTTACTGAAAAAGTCAGACCCAGGAAGCGGGTTGTCAAACCCCTCTTAACAGTCCCCACTGGGCAGCCCACAACCCAGAAGCAGCACCAGGCAGACTGGGGGTCTCCTGGATGCAGTGGGGCAAGTAGCACTCGTCTCACTTCCACGCTTCCGCATCACCAGGAACTCTGACTCCTGGACCAGGGCCCAGTTTTTCTCTGCCTACACACTGATTTCAACCAGATAAATTTCTAAATGCCCTGTGAACAACAGATACTGATTTTCAAAGCTGGATGACAATGTAGCATTTGAAAAGAGCATCTGGAGTTAAAAACTGCATAACAAGTCCACAATCTCTGCTAACAGAAATTTTAAGGGAAAACGTTCATAGACCTATCCATATAGGTCTTCTAAACGTTAACACTTAAAGAAAAAAGTATAACGGTGACTTTTAATAACACTTACTCTAGAAAATGTAAACTTTCCTGCTTATAAGTGAAAGAAAATGGCAATTACCAATCTTGACCAGCTCCATCCACTGCACACCTTTTGTACCAATTGCGACGAGGGAGAATCCAATGGTGGCCCCAACAATGCAGTGAGTCCCCGAGATCGGGAGCCTCAGGAAGGAAGCAATGAGCTGCCAGACGGCGGAGCCTGCGGGTTGAAGATAAAAAACAAAGACAGAAAAAAGTCAGATATACAGCGGGATGTCTCAAACAGCCATAGATGGAAGAAAGCCAAATTACGTTCTCCTTCCCAATGCCTCCCTGGGGTTAATTGTCTCTGGACTGTTTCTTTACAAAGCCCTGAGAGAAACCACTCAAATAACTTTAGCCAAAGGAACATTCTTCAACACTGAAGGGATAATGCTGACTTATTCAAAGGAAAGTACTTGAAAGTAGTTAAAGAAAAGCCCCGTGATGTCAGTTCCTAGTTGCCTTTGTCATGGTTAAGCAAGGGTGCTGGTGATGAGGTGAGTTCTGATGTGAAGTGTGGCCAGGACCAAGCAGGAGAATGAACATGGAGAAACAGGAAAGGCTGCGTATTGGAAAAGATTCTGCTGTAGTTACGCCGTTCAGTCACATCATGAGGAGGCTAGATACCGCCTACGTATATTAGTCGGTACAAGAGAGAGTATAAAATACAAACATCAAATCACAATGCTGTATACCTGAAGCCAATATAATGTCACGTCGAATATACCTCAGTAAAAACAAAGAGAGAGTGTGTGTAATCCCGCATTACTTTTCGCCGTTTTGCCTCTCCTGTGAGAAGTAACTATGATATTTAACCTCACGCTGGGCATCTACCCTCAGCGCCTGCCCAGGCGGCTGGGCCTCTTTTGGCCTGCTCCCTCCAGGCCTTCTAATTCTCAGGAATTAAGAGGATCCCTGGGTTTGGGCTTTGTGTCCTTTTACCTCAATTTCGCCACCCTTTTCTAGGCTTCGTGTTCTTCCAGGCTACAGTTCACTTCAGATATTTTCATAAGCAGATCAAGTTTTGCAGGGAGTATTAAAAGCATTGGCTGGGGAGAGGTCACTTTCGGAAACAGCTGTTGAAAAGCTCACAAAGGGCTGCAGGGGACGAAGGGCCTGGCTGATAAGCAGGGCACGGCCTTAATCCCAAGTGTTAACTCTGGAAATCTGGCTGCTTGGTAGCAGCACTTTTAAACAGACCCCTGGCATTTTCTCCAAAAACATCTGCGTCACAGAGGCTTGTGAGAGGCTGTGCAGGTCCCCATTTGCGGAGCAAGGCTGACAGCTGCTCTGGGAGCGCCAGGCAGGCTGACCTTTGCGCAGCAGCGGGCCGTGACCCCGAACCTACTCCCTGAAACGTGTGCTGGGAGGAGGAGGGCCAGGCTTGGGCTGCCAAACCGGTGACAGGCTTGATGGCAGCAACCAGGCTCCCCCGTGGACAGTCCTGCAAACCCGGACATCTAAGCCCTGGGCTCCTCAGGGACTAGTTGTTTTAAAAATAAAGCCAGACTTTGGAGCGTGTTTCACACCACAGAACCAGAACTTAAAAAGCAAATATTCTTACAAAAAGTAAAATACCCTAGTGATGTTAAGAGAATGGGATAAGCTCACCCACGTGAATTCAGACCATGAGGTTTTCAATCCTGAAAGCCACTCTCCTCTCTCTGGCTGACTTTATAACAGGAGGGTTTGTAAGGAAAGGTAGGGGGACGGGGCTGCCTGAGAGAGGGAGGGATGGGGGGTGGGCACTGGGGAGCAGGGGACAGAGGGGAGGACGGGGCCTTGCAAGGCGAGAGTGGGCCAGAGGCCCTCCTTGACCTTGGGAATTCCTGGAGGTGAATGGGATTACATTAGCGTGAAGGAAAAGTGGTAACAAGGGAGAGCTTAACCTAAGATAACGACGTCCTGCAATGAAGGAGGGGGTTAAACAGAGGATGAGGCTGCCAGACAAAACCTGGGGAAAGTGGAGGTTAAGATGGGTGTCTGAGGCCACAGGCTCCTGGAGGATGAAAGAACGGCAGAGAAGGCACAGGTTACGCGGAGGCAAAGAAGACTCAGCACTTCCTAGGGTGGTTCCAGGAGATGGCTCGGTCGTCCTGTCGTGGGTATTCCCACGAAAAGATGGCGCGTTCTGAATTCTCAGTGGATTTTGGGAACCATTGACGGTTTCATACTAAGTGGATCGACTGTTGCTTTAGGGCTGAGCTAGAGTCCCCAGGGGTGCCTTGTTCAGGAGGTGTGGCTGGCATGAACAATTTCTTCTGCCCAATCAGCTTAACACTACCGCAACTTTACCAGCAAGCACAGAGACCCATGGGCTTGGGGTGAAGATTATAAAGAAAAAAGAGAAAAAAAATAAAGAGATGGGGAGAAAAGGGACAAAGAAAGGGATGTTGACTTTAAAAGAGGAAGATTGGGAGAACTCAGGCATCTGAACAGAATCATCTCGGTTTGGGCCAATCATGATTATACCACCATCCTAAACTTCCCCAGTTCCCGTGTACAAGGAACCCAATTTTAAAAGTCTAGGTAACTCTCACCAATTCCCAACAAAATAGGCTTTGAGATTCTTCTAACCACACACCAAAAAAAAAAAAAAAAAGACACCAAAGCAAACCAAATCAAGTTATTCAAGCAAAAATCCCCAAATGCTTTGGTTGACCTAAATTCTAGTGGAGGTAAGTATCCTTCATTCTTTGAGTGTAGAGACCAAGGCCAAGGGTGGGAAAACCCAAAAACTGGACAACTTATGCTGTCTACACGGCAAGTTAGTGGTGACGTGGAGCTCAGCCCGCAGGCCTTCCATCCACCCAGGGCCCTGGGGCAGCCTCACAAACAAACCTCCTCAGTAAGCACCACCACTCCCCAAAGGGCTCATCCAACTCAAGGAGGAACCTCTGTTAAGACTGAACTTCATCACTGTATAGCACAGGGAACTCTACTCAATCCTCTGTAATGACCTATATGGGAAAAGAATCTATAAAAAGAGCCGATATATGTATATGTATAACTGACTCACTGTGCACCTGAAGCTAACATGACGTTGTAAATCAACTACACTCCAATTATAAAATTAAAAAAGAAAGACTGAACTTCATCAGTGTTTTTCTTTATTTCTCCTCTACTTTCAATATATCTTGTCCGCATCATACCGACTGGCAAAATCTTAATTTCCTCCTGATATGATTATGTCTTAGATATTGATCATGACTACTGAGGGTGAATTTGACAAACAACTGTCAAACTGTCAGGGAAACGTCAATTATACCGGACTGTGATGAGAAGTACATGTTCAGTGAAGGTGAAAATTCAATCATTACAGTAGCTGTTGTAGTAAATGATTTTTAATTCTTAAAAATAATGATGAATTAAAGTCATCATGAGCCTTACATCTTTCACACAACATGTGCAGCTGACAAAGAGGAACTCCTCAGCACATATGACCAGCTTACTGTGCTTTAGTAGTATTTAATTCCTTACTGAGGACATCCATCTTCCAACCAAAGGCCTCAACTACTCTACCTCTCAAACTAACCCGCTGTAAAGAAAAGATGATGGGCCACCTTAAACCTGGCAAATGACCTGCACATTCTGGGGGCTTAAGAAGTGCTGGCGGTGGTAAACCCCTGGGGATCCGTGGGATGTAGCCATGTTCTTGGTCCACCAGCATCCGGCCTCCCGGTGCAGGGCTCTCCCCACAAAAGCATGTGCCCTGTTGAAAGCAGAAGGTGGCAGAACTCCCCTCTCCCCCCTCTCCCCCACTACCTGTGTAGACACGCCATCTGCTGTGCATCACCTCGACCTAGAGGCAAGCAGAGGAGGAGCTTGCCGGCTGCACCTAAGGCCCTGCTGCCCAAATCTTCCAGCTCAGCGAGGGCAGCGCCCACGGTGCTGCCAGTGTGGAGTCGCCTCGGGCAGGGGAGGAACCACACGCCCGACACCACCAATAAAAGGTCCACACCACCAATAAAAGGTCCGACTGCAAACAGGTGACATACAAGTGATCTTCCAGTGGAAAACAAAACAAGCGTACTAGGGCTTCCCTGGTGGCGCAGTGGGGGCTCCCCTGGTGGCGCAGTGGTTGAGAGTCCGCCTGCCGATGCAGGGGACACTGGTTCGTGCCCCGGTCTGGGAGGATCGCACATGCCGTGGAGTGGCTGGGCCGGTGAGCTATGGCCGCTGAACCTGAGCCTCCCGAGCCTGTGCTCCACAACAGTGAGAGGCCCGCGTACCACAAAAACAAACAAAAAAAAAACAAACAAAAAAACAAGCATACTAGATGGAGCTCCCAGGGGTGGAATCAGAAAGTCCAAACAAACACTAACAAAAGGAAGACAAATGACAGAGAAGACCAGAGTTTCTTGAAAACACAGTCACTTAAGAGTCAATTGGTAACTGCTTTAAAACTTCAACGGAGAATACAGAAGTTAAGCTAATAAATACTGTTTTGGGGCAACCACGTTTTCAAAACATTACTTCCTAACTGATGGAAAATCTATGAAAAAATAGAAATGAATCTTCAAGGTTTATAAATAAACCTAAGTAAACCTCTCAAACACATTCATTTAGACGTGTTCTTTCTTTAATAACTTTCAAGCAGCTTTAAAATGACAAAGAGCTATGCTACAAATATCTTTTTCTGGACTTTATGAAAAGCACTGACTTAACCAAAATCTATTTGGACAAGCAAGTCTGCCATACATTCAAGGAAAGAAATGGTTGCTTGATATTCGAACACTGACCAAAATCATAACTGAATTAAAACACAGAGAGCACAAATAAGGTATAGTAAATGAGAAATCTGAAAAAGTATACATACATACATATATGGCTGAATCACTTTGCTGTACACCTGAAGCTAACACAACATCGTAAATCAACTGAGCTTCAGTAAAAAAAAAAAAAGAACCATCAAACCAGTTTTTGAAAAGTTAAAACAAAAATCTCATTTATGGATATGACAAATGAGAAATGGGTCAGTGGACACATTCCCACAGGTGGAAAGACGAGGCTACTTACCGACCATGGCACTGACCTCCCCGGCCATGAGCGTCTCCACAGTGTGGTTGTACAGGTTCACGTCAATGATGCCTTTCCGGATGGTCTCTCCGACTTTGGCCCCCAGTAACACCGAACCGGTGGTTTCAAAGATTGAAGCCAGGATGCAGGCCTGCCTCAGGGTCACCACGCCCGAGCCCACGGCGGTACCAAACGAATTGGCAACATCATTGGCACCCACGGAAAATGCCAAGATAAAAGCTATGAAAAAACCCAAGATGACCATCCACAGATACTCATCTGCGGCCATTTTGGAAAGGGGGTTCCGGGTACTCTTCTTTTGCAGAAGTATTTGAAAGCTGCTGAGCTTGAGGTTCAAACGTCGTCAGGCCGAGAGTTCTCGTCAACAGTGAGTCTGCTCTGGAAAGTGCCGGATGATGCTGGAGCTGCACAAACTGCTAGCTGCTGGTTTTCAAACTACTGTCAGGACAGTTCATTGGGTTGTGTTCAGTCAGCGGTAAAACACATTCCATATTTTCCTTCCCAGTCTGGGGAAGCTGTGAGATCTCCCCCTGTAACAGGAAGAAGACAAAAGAGATCAACTATCCTGAGGAACCGGTGACAACAGTTTGTTCTTTCAGAAAGAAATGTTTGGAAACTGCTGATAGGATCTCACGCTGGCATGTGGCAGATCTGACCATAAAGCAACGCAAGGAAGATTATAATCAGGCTAACTGCCCAGCCCACCCCCAGAAAAGCTGATTCTAGAACGTCACAGGGTGAAGCTGCTTTATGATCACAGATAGGAAGTCTTAATAGGATACATTTTTATGCAATTTGAAAAATATATGTGGTCTTTATTTTAGAAAGAAAAAATTGCCTTGGATGAGCAAAAGATAAGGAAACGAGAAATTCAGAGTTACCGAGTTTTTCAAATACGTGGACCGCACCTAATTTCTTGGAGCAGGATGACCCGATGTGGCTGTGACACCGTGGGGTGTGGCAACTGTCTACCTGACCATTTGCACACCCTGAGCTCGGCAGGCCCGGGTCAGACACGAAGTGACTCCTTCAAAAGGTGACAGGGTGGGAACTGAAGGGGCTCCCGGGGGACAGGGAAGCTGGAGCGAAGCGACCCTGTCAGAGCAAGAAGCAGAGCAGGTCACTACGCCCTGTTTCCCACCTTGCTCGGGGAACAGTCAGAGGCCTGACCATGGCCTGGGAGGCCCTCCCAGATCTCCGTGGGGCTCCCCCAGCAGATGTCCTCGGGGCTACCCCCCAGATCTCAGGGCTCCCCCACCAGATCTCCTCGGGCCCCCCACCAGATCTCCTCGGGCTCCTCCCCGAGATCTCCTCGGGGGCCCCCCACCAGCTCTCCTCGGGGCTCCCCCCTAGATCTCTTCAGGCCTCCCCACCAGATCTCCTCGGGCTCCCCGACCAGACCTCCTCGGGCTCCCCGCCTGACCTCCTCGGGCCGCCCCCCCCAACCCCTCCCGGGCTCACTGACCTCAGCCCCTGCCCACCCCCTCCCCTCACTGGCTCGCTCTCCTCAGGCCCTTTGTACCTTCTGGTCCCTCTGCCAGAAACAGCCTGTCTGATGGCTGCACAGCTCATCACCTGCTCCAAGTCCTTCTCTGCCCAGATGTCACCAGAGCAGCCCTCCCTGACCCTGTCGAAGAGCACCCCCCATGCCATTATCCCTCCCTCTCACCTGACCTTTTGTCTTTTCTACTGACCACCTCATTCATTCATTCACTCACTCACTCCTGTCCGGCCCCTCACGGGACGCAAGGACTTTGCTGTGTCTCCAGCACACAGACTAGCGCCTGGCACGGGGTAAGCCCTAATCAAGTTGTTGAATAAGTGAAGAAAGAAGCTATTAAACAAGTGAAATAACTCTTGCATAGGCTTCCTCCTGGGATGAAGATGTGACATCACAGAATTAATACATATGTGAAGTAAAAAGGTCACTAAAAGCCTCAGAACGGTGGTGTTCTATTATTATATAGTCAAAGTACCACATCTGTGTAGTTCCTTTGAGCGGTTCTAGGCATCGGGAATGGTGCCCATAAATGCTAACTGAACTGAATAAAACAGGCTCATACACCACGTCATACACAACATAATGATCAATCAACATTAAGGTTATTTAGAGGGAAAAAAGCAGGACATAAAATTTATGTACCTGTGATTGTGGCAACGTTAAAAGGCATATAAAAGACCAAAAGGTAATCACTAAAATTGTAACAGTGGTTAAGCTTAAGAAGCAGTGTCAGAGATCATTTTTTCCTTTCCTCCAAAAACTGTATACCATGGTGATGTGCTTTTCAAATTAGAATAATACATAAAAAACAAATCAATAAACGTATATTGAGAACCATCTTTTTAAAAAATATAATTCACTAAAATGTGGTGAGTACCCGTGCTGGGAGGGCAGGGTAGGCAATGCTACAAGGCACACGATGAAATAAAAAATGTGCCCTGACCACCTTCTCATTTTCTAAGCTTCGTGGTCCACGCAATTCTGGAGATTCTGGGCCCAACGGAGACACGGGAAAAGACCCCTCTAAAGGCAAGAGACAACGTTCTATAAATGAAAATACAAAATTAAACCATTCTGGACCAATATCATCTATCTTAAAATATAAGAAAATTCTAGATGAAAGTTCATCTGTCAGGTTAGGCGGCCCAGAGGGCCAACAAGGACAACGCCCAACAGATATTTACTGCAGGCCCCGCCTGCCCGTCACGGGGAAGACGCTGAGCGATGAGGGACGGGGTCCGGCACGTGCGGAGCTCCCATCCAGGGAGGGAAACAGGTGCTCATCGACACACACACGTCAGACCATCAGCTGCAGCCGATGCTACGGAAGCAGGAGGCTCTCGCGCACGTGCAGCATCACGAGCGCACGATGGGGGCAAGGCCTGGTCTGCGCGGGCAGGAGAGGGTCCCCTGCCATCTAAGGACGGGGGGGGGGGGGTCAACCTGCGACTGGGGGAGGCATTACAGGCGGTTCCCAGCTGGGAAGGAGCGGGACGAGGGGAGGGGACCGGTGGCAGCCGGGGTGAGGGGCCCACGGTGGAAGCTGAGCTGGACCATATTAAAGACTGTGGTCACCGACTAACAACAGGGGGCGCTGAAAGGGTGCTGTCATGCTCAGACCCTCCTTCTGGGAGGCCCCCTGGCCACAGTGGGAAGAGAGAACAGGATGGAGGCCGGGGTGGATGTGGGGAGACTGCCTACGAGGCCCCTGCTTGGCGCAGATGGGGTGTCCTGGGCCCAGGGCAGGGGTGGTGACAGGGGAAGAGAAGTGATGCAAAGAAGCCAACCATGGCGTTGGCTTGTCAACAGCGGTGGAGAGAGGAGAGCTGGCGCCTACCTGTGGAGCTGGGCTGAAAAGTCACTGAGCAGGGTGTGTTTTCCCTTCTGCACTGTACTTGGTTTTGTTTGTCAGTGGCAGGACGGTGTCTGAGCACAGCTCGTGGCTGGACACGGCACACACAGGGGTGAAGGCAGCTCAGCAGAGATGCCCTCAGCCCAGCTTTGCTTGGAGTGAGGCTTCTCATTGTCTTTATGGTCCCCCTGGCACCATTTCAGAGCAGGGATTCCCTCTCCTACTTAGATGACCTTAGATAACTTATCTCCACAACTGTGTCTATGTTTTCTCCTTCACACTCAAACCCTCAGCCAACCAGCTGAAGTGCAAAAGCAGCTGGTTGAGGAGAAATGGTTTTGCCCCTTTTCTGAGCCCAGATGATTGCTATCTTGCATGATATTTACCCGGCCAGTTTCTTATTGCAAGTACCAACACCCTGACTTTCTCCATTGATTTTTATCAAATGTGAGCAAAATACAGAGCTTAAATAACCACACAATCTGCTCTATGGAAAAAGATAGCAACGCCGCTGAAACCGAGCCCTCAGCGGGCCAGAGGACCACTGTGCAGGAGGCCACAGTGGAAGTTTGCCAAGAACACGGCCCAAATTCGGAGCGGCTGAGGCCCGACCAGGACGCCGTCGGGGAGTGCTGGTGTCTGAAAGTAGGATTTTGAAGGGAGGTGATCACATCAGTGGGGAAATCTGACTTATTCAATAAATGATGCTGGGACAACGTGCTAGCTGCTAACTATCTGGAAGGAAGAAAAAAGTGAGATCCCTACCTCACACCAAGTTAAAGATGGAAAGAGTCAACACATATGAGTTCACGGGAATCCTGCAGCTGGAGACAGAGGAGTCTGAGGTGTGGAAGCATCACTTGGGAATGCCTCTTCTTGTCCTCAGCAATGGTTCTCAACAAGGGGCAGTGCTGTTTGGAACCTCCAGCAAATGCCTTGTTCCTTCTAACTCTCCTAGGAGGGCTTTTCTGAAAAAGGTCAGGACGAGGTGGGGGGAGGTTGGAACAAGCTTCCTCTTTCCCTCTCCTTCCCCGAGTGTGAAAGCCCCTACATGGTCGGGATTCACAGGACTGAACGTTACGAGATAGTCGTCAATTTTCAGATGCCATCAACCTCTTGCACTGGAAGAACAGAGCCCTTCAACTGTTTGACTTATCGCAGGAGGTACTGAGGGTCTCATAAGCTGTGTCCGAAACGCGTCCTGTTCACAAGATCCTGTCTTTCCTCAGAGGCTTCTGAACAAGCTGCTCGGCTCGGCTCTCCTGCCCTCGTGTCTAGGCCTTCAGCTCTGAATGAGCCCTCCTCAGGGCTCCTGAGCTGAGGCTTATAGATTCTCTTCTTCCACGAGCATCCGCCTCAACTCTCCCTAACACCCTCTTCTCCACCCTAGAAACAGGAATGTTAAAGGAAGGGTGAAAACAAACGTTCTCAGGATATTTCTAGTCACGTTTGTACGCTGTTTAAAAACAGCAATGTTGCTGAGTTGTAGCACTTAATAGACATTTGTGCACAGAGGAGCTTGGGTGGGAGGGTCCTGCTCTGAAACGCTGCCAAAGGCGACACCCGAGGAGACCCCTGACCCTTCCAGCAAAGGTGCTGCTCCAGCCCCCCTCCGCCCTGCACACCCCTCCCCCCAGCCTGGGGTCTAACCATCTCCCCAGTCCGGCTACCAGCCCCAGACAACCAGGTCGGTGGCAGACTGTGGCCTGTTCAGGAGCTCAGACCCACGCAGAAAAGAATCCCAAAGATGACTTTTGGCTTCTTCCCCAAGCACACACCTATTTTCATCAATTCGTGTGCCAATTTCAAACTCAGCTTTTTAAAGAACACCTCTCATCCTGAAGGATGCTTACCGAGCTGCCCTTACATTTCACCCAATAACTTCGCAGTCCTTCTCCTGTCCCTATGATGCAGAAGGAATTCAATACATCTATAAAATGTCTTATTTCCTGGGTCTGCTAGGAAACAGTGTAAGTAGGGCAAGGTCCTACTTGATGAGGCTTAATCTCATTTACTGACATGAGCTGAGTCATAGTTAATAGCTGCTTACATCCTCCAGCTTGATACACTCTAAAGCAGATACGAGGAGAGCATCCACTGTGCTGCTTCTGGGCAGCGCGGCTCTTTTCCCTGACACTCATGGGCCACACCCAGGCCAGGCCCTCCCTTTGACAGAT